ATGGAGATTTGGTGTTGCTGTACAATCCACAACGGAAGAGGGGTTTGTCTCCAAGACTTCAATGTTGTAGGGAAGGTCCATATAAGATAATCAATCGACTAAACGACGTAGTATATCGAATCCAAACCGTTGGGAGTCCAAGAAACAAGATGAAAGTGGTCCACCTGGAGAGGCTTGCTGAGCTTGGAACAGCGAATGTGTCTGATCGGGACGATCAGACTTAGGTGGAGGGCAGTGTTGCGAAAATGCGAGACGAATGTAAGATGAAAGAGAGAAGCCGATAACTAGTACATTCTAAACGAGAACCTTCGATAGCGAACAACTCGATGATTCTACACTTTCGTCTGCGAGCAGCCGACTGCTATATAAGGGCGACACTCAGCTGCTAAATCAAGTCAGTTACAAAGTGAACTCGTTGGCGTTAACATCTGTAAAGTCGTAAAGTAAACGCGTTGGGATTACATTTAAGTGAAGTAAATTGTGAAAATTGATGCAAGTGATTGTAGCTAGCAAAGTGCATTGTAATTGAATTGTGAATTACTGAGTAAATAAAGGACATTAGATAAAATCTCTATAACGAAAGAAACTGCAAATTAAGTTGGCGAGTTTTTATTTAACAACCAGAGATCGTACCCGATCGTAACGATATTATGAAATTCGTTGATGAAAATTATGAATTTGTTCAAAAGTGTGCAAATACACTGGGAGCTGGCAACATTTCGCCGCTCTCAGAAGCGTCAATAACTCGTGTATGTATCTCGTCTTTTCGTCGCCACTTATGGTCGGCTGGTAAGTTAAATGGGTAGTTGCTGCCTATGATTTCTGATTAGTTACATACATTGAAAGGAAGGAAGCAAAATGTCTTCAAGGAAAAAAAGTAAGAAAATAATTCCACCTATCCCGTGTAATTGGAAAGAATGTAAATTATTTTTCGACGATATCTGGGAATTAAATGAACATATTACATCGCATTTCGACGAATTACACCAAGAAAACAAGGCAATCAGGTCGTGTCCGTGGATTGAATGCACCTTTGAAACAAATAATTTTATGGAACTTAAACGGCACATTTACTATCACGGATATTACACAGGCCTTTTAATAAGAGGAAAATATGAATGCGAAGAAAACAAAAATATTCCAAAATGTAAAGCGCCGACTAAAGAATTTGATAAGATACCAGACTTAAAATATAACTTCGTTTGCGAATGGTTAGATTGTCAACGAACATTTGTGTCTATCGTTGAATTTCATGATCACATTATTCAGCATGCATCATTTGAGTATGAAATTGAAAAATCCCCAAATGATATAAGGCCAAAAGTGAAATGCAAGTGGAGTATATGTAATAAACTTTTGGAAAATAGATATAGGCTAATTGAGCATATTCTTACACATTCCAACAAAAAATTTGCTGCATGCCAGAATTGTGGTGAAGTTTTTCGGACAAGAACAACCCTGTTCGATCATCTACGGAGACAACCAGAAAACAACAGTAAGCTTGCAAAGGTAACATTTTTAATCACATAATTAAATATATCTTTTTTTTTTAATGTAAAGCACACAAATTCCAATGCGAACAGTGCTTTAAGTATTTTGCAACCGAGAAGTTGCTACGTTCACATTTCTTAAATCATATAAACTGCTACAAATGTAGTCTCTGCGACATGTCCTGCCCAACTTCAAGTTCCTTAGCAACACATATCCGATATCGACATCTTAAAGATAAACCTTTTAAATGCACTGAATGTGAGCATCGCTGTGTACGTAAAATCGACCTAGAGAAGCATATGATGCATATTCATAGCAATCACGTTCATCGTTGTCAAGAAGCAGGCTGCAACTACACCGTAAGAACATATAATTTATTGAGAAGGGTAATATTTAAATATATAATTCACTTTTAGTACCTCTTATAATTTTTTTTTCTTAAAAAATTTCACAGCACTGCTTGGAAGTTCACGGAAATAGTCCTTTCATTTATATGTGTCATTGCTGCGATAAATTATTTAAACATAGTAAGTATCTGTCGAAGCATTTAATCAAGAAGCACGACTTCAAACTACCTTCTGGGCACAAGAGGTTCACATACCGCATCGATGAAAATGGGTTTTATTTACTAGAAACATTGCGTATTGAAAGTCTAGAAGTAACAAAACAGATTTTATCACCTCATCCTATCGAAACATCTGATTTAACGCAAGATAGCACTTGCTATGAAATAGTATCCATGACTAATGAGCAAGATCAGCGAATAATTGTTGCGAATGATGCAAATGAGGCAAGATTAGTAGGAGAAGTTGTAATATCTTTACCTATCGATAATATAAGCTTATAAAATAAAGTATAAATTTATATAGAATTACTGAAAATAACTAATTTTCTTGGTGATTAGAAAAGTTCCAAGCACCAAATTAGAATTAGTGGTAAGTTAAGCTCCAGTTCACTAATTAAGATCAAAACTTAGATACCTTAACACTTAGAATATACATAAGAAAATATATGTAATTTTTCTACAATTCTTTTTTTTATTAAAATTAAACAAAATGATTCCTAAAAAATATCACGCAACAATAATAATTACAAACATTCTCTTGATCCTGGGGAAGCTGAATACAGAATACAGAAACTTTTAAATCAAATGTTAACTATATTTTTTAAATCATTAGGCAGTAAATTCTTCATGCAATTAATTTGGAGGCGAATTTGCTCTTGCGTGGAGCTATTACTACTATCGTTGTAGAGATTCATTTTCTGTTTTAGTTTAAGTATCATATCAATAATTTCTACTTCTTGTTTATCCTGTGCCCATTGCTCAAGATTAGCAACGGAAAGAGCCTGTAGCTGCAAGTCTTGCAAGGTTAATTGCAGTTCCCGATGTCTTGAATCGTACCATCCACGGAAATTTGGCGAATTGAAGAATTTCCTATATAGACCCTTCCAATCACCCTTTAACGGGGAGGTTAAATGTGGTCCAGATTGTTCAATAGTGGCTAAAAAATCATCTAATTTAAACGCATTGGCGTTTGGCGCCGATTTAAATGGGCTTATATCTTTCTGTAATGGCATTAAAGAAGCTATATAGCGTTCCAATGGTATCATAAAACTTTGAGTTAGCTCAAGCAAATTTCGACGTAACAAAGCAGTTTGGACATGGTCAGGTCTTTTTGTTTTGACGCCAGCTAGAACTTTTTTAATTAAATTCTTATCTTTCTTAAGAAATGGTTTGTACTTTGTATATAGTCCAGGAGTTGTGCCATCACTGGTAATAGTATTTGTATTTAGTAGTTGAGAACTTCCATTGGGAGAACTTTTTCTAATTATGCCGGTATTACTGGCGTTCAGTGATGTTACTGAGTCTCCATTACGTATATTTTTTTGAATTTGCTGATGCTGCTGTATATTAATCTATAATAAACAAGATTTCCTTTTTGTATTGTTTGGTATATAGTATATAAATATATGAATTAATTTATGTTTTTAATATTACCTGATTATCAACTAATCGCAGCATATGAGGCCAATCTTTGAGCAGTTTTATGAAAAATGGATTTGTTACACCCAGTATCACAGATGGTGGTGTTTTCCCATATTCTCTAGTGAACTCTTTGAATTCACTGTCGTGTATAGTAAAATAAGGACGAGCTTCAGCACAGTACTCTATAGGAGCTATTAGAGATACAAGAGTGTGCACCATATGTGAGCAATCTGCAGGGGATGTACCGACAACTACAATGGGTTCTGCAATTAACACTAGTTCCCATAAAGTATATAAGTTTTCCAATGTAAAACATAGGCCATGAAATAATTCCAGTTCGTGAACGGAACTCAAAATTTTTGTTGATAACGTGTTAAGAGCAAATTCTTTAACCATATTTTTTTGGAGCCCGACGGAGTTGCTTCTCTTACCACTTATTGTCGATATATTTATTTGGTAGATATGGTCGAACAGTTGTAGTTCCAACTGATAACCAGCTTGCAAGGGCGGCCACATCCGATTAATTTGCCCGCAAGCTTCTTCGATGACCGCTTTGCCCTCATCGAAAAATTTCGGAGCTATTTGAGCCACAATATCATAAAAAAGGTTACAAAATGGTAAACGTGACACTATTATAAAACTTTTTTGAAAATATCCTCGCGGAAGATTTGGATCGCGCTTCTGACGAAAGTATACAAATCCCCAGAAATGTGATTCATCAACACGAAGCATAGAAATACAATCCGCATTGTATGAGTGAAATATTCTGGAGAAGTTTTTATTATAATTATCCTTAGTGGATCGTCGAAGACGCATGTGAAACTTTGTGTCACCCATGCATCCAGAGTTGGAATCGGGAAAAGCCATATAACATATATTAGCCATTTCTGTATCTGAGGGTGTAAATTGTGGTGGATATACAAATTCCAGAGCTTGTCCTATGTTCAAATCGAATGTTACTACACACATGCAATGTATCCATTGAGAAAAGCGATCCCACTGGCCATCGCTTCTAGCAAAAGTATCCACACCTTTATTTACGGACCTTAAGGCTTCATTGTCGTGGATCGAATTGTTTGAATCACCAGATTTCTCGGTCATCTCGTAAGCAAATCCATACACTTTCACTATCTTTAAAATTTTTTATTTGTTTGGGTTAAAAGAGCAATAAATAAAACAAATTGTATCAAACAAAGTTAGATTGTCAAAATATTGAGGGATATGTTTAATAAATAGAAGCAGAGTTTCCAAAACTAGTTTATTAGGGTGCCTCTAATTTTTTGACTTATTTAAAAGCTAGGTCGGAGGCATAAGTGTAGAATACCAAAGAACGTATGAACAGAGAACGTAAATATAACGAGAAGGTTCAGGGCGTGCCGATTGTCATTTTGTTCCGCTTTGCAGTCGACGCCAGTTTTCTATGGATGCATTTCACCCCAGATTTCGATGAGCCCTGTTCACCACATTTTAACAGAGAAATAGCAGAATTGTGCTCCAAATAGTAGAATGAGTACAATAATGAGAATTTCCATGCAAAATAAATGTAAAATGATAAAAACCTATTGAAGATAAATGTAAACTATACATGTATGCTGTATTATCAGAAACTTCTGATTTCAATTTCTGTTTATTTGCTTATTTTAATTTGCAAATTTACTAATTTTTGGAATTTACTATTTTATTTTTATTTACTTACATATTTCTAATTTTTCTAATAATTTTTTAAT